ACAAATAGGTCGCTACTTGTATGTATAATTAAGGATTACAATTTGATATTATGTTATTGTTATAAAAATTGATTTAATGATAAAAAGTTATATCTTATTAATATAAAAAGAAAAGTTTGAAACATGTCTTAATAGGCAAGTTAATCTTTAGAAAGAATTAAAGTTAGCGCTAAAATTAAATAGAATTAAAATTGTAAATTTGTAAGGATTCGATGTAACACCCATTTTTTTTAAAATATTATTATTATTATTATATAATATTTGGTCAAAATTATTTTTATTATTATAAGAAAATATATTTTGTATGTTTTAAATAACTATTTTATACATATTAAATAAGTATTTTTATTAGTATTTTAAATGATTATTTATATGTTTTAAGGATAATTTAGGAGTTGAGATGAGATACAACCCCTCTATATTTTTATAATTAAATTAATTATATATTTTATTATAAAATTTAAAAGGTTGATTTTATAGGATATTTTAATATCAAAATATATTTTAGATCAGAAATATTTTATTATTATTGGGAAAAAAGTATTTTGTATTATATTTATTTATTTGATTATTTGGGAGAAAAGAGAAGCGGGCCGGGGAGTGAAATGAGTTGGGTTGACCCGGATCGAGGGGATGTTAAGAAGGGTTAGCAGATTAACCCTCGTTTTGTAGTTTTTCAAATGGTATTCTGAAGGTGTGAGAAAAGAGGAGAGGAAAAATAAGAGCTCTAAGGAAGAGGAAGAGTTCCCTAGGATTCTTAGAAATTTTATAATTATTTCTGTTTGCATGTTTAATAATTTTAATGATTTCTGTGTGTATCTATACTAATATTTCTCGTGTTAATTACTGTAATTTCTTTTCTGGATGATGGATTGGATTGATTGAAATGTGACTGTGAGTTAGGGTTCATGAGGGATTGGGGATTCTGGAATTGATGCATGTTTCTATGAAATTGATGTGTTATGATGTGTTTTCGAGTAATTGTGATGAGTTTTGATTGAATAGAATATGAAAATAGTGTGTTTGATGATTGACAAATTATGAGATGTTTGTTTGCATTTTTAGAATTGTAGAAAGTTGCGCTAGTCGGGCTTTGTTCCTTGCGTCGGGTGCATCTTCATATAATTAGATGAAATTTGTGTGTGTTGGATGGCCTATGTGTTGCTATATATATATGTGTCTGTGTGTATATATATATATATATATGGTGTATGCTGAAATGGAATGGATCTGAATGTGAATTATAAATTGAGATGTATGAGAATGTTGTGTATAATGCCTCGGCACGGGCGTGTGCATGACACGATGCTGGATGTGTGATGCATCGGCACGAGCGTGTGTGTGACATGGTGCTGGATGTGTGATGCATCGGCATGGGCGTGTGCGTGAGATGGTGCTAGATGTGTAACATGGTGCTGGAGGTGTGATGCATTGGCACAGGTGTGTGCATGACACGGTGCTGGATGTGTGATGCATTGGCATGGGTGTGTACGTGACATGATGTTGGATGTGCGACATGGTGCATGCTTAAACTGTGATGTGGTAATGAAAATTGAATGAACTTAGAATTGATAATATAAAGTATGATTGACCGAGGTTTAATTGTGTATATGATTACCGACAGACACTAATCCGTCGGTAAATTGCTCGTCTGAAATATTTACCGACGAATTTTAATTCGTGGGTAACTTTCCGACGGATTTTCCCACGGATTTATCCGTCCGCAGATACCAACAGGTGCGGGTATTTTTGTCATCCCTAATTATAATCTTCAAGTGGGAGAATTGTTAGAAAAAGAGGTCTCACATTGGTGGGAACTTCACACTTGGACCCACTAAAGTTATAAATAAAGCCTAGTTGCCCCACTAAGGTTAGTAAGGTGAGGACTACTCCCCACTTATATATATTATTATGGTCTTATTCTTAGTCGATGTGGGATCTCCAACACACTCTCCAAGATGGGACATCTTGAAAGTAGCAGAACATCTATAGGTGGTATGATAACAATACGATATGTTCTAATAACATCTTAAGAAAATGGTTTAAGAGTCTAAAATAACTTTATAAAATTAGCTTGTAAGGTTAGAATTATTCTTCACTTATATACATTATTATGACTTTATTTTTAGTCGATGTGGAATATCCAACACATCCCACATTTTCTCCTCCTTTCTTTATCTACTTTGATAGCATTCTCTCAATAGAAATATTCTTGTTTTAAGAAGTGAATTTTATAGTAAAGAGTGCTGTAATTTTTTCTTTTAGTAAACTTTTTTCTATTGTGTTGCCTTAAATTCTAATTTGTTAGAAATGTAGTGTTTTATCTTCGCAATCACAAGGGATAGTAAAATGTTAAATTCAACTATGAATGGTGTTTGACACATGTGGATCATACAATCGAATGAGAAAGAGAAAGAGGAAGAACATACCTTAAGCTTAACACTGGTATGAGCCTTTTTTTTTTTAATGTATTGATATATACTTGCCTTTTTTTAAAAAAAGAAGTAATTTACCAAATTATAACTTATTTTTTTCCTAAAATTTACTCAAGATGTAACTTGCTAACATTAATATGTACATTAACAAATTATTTCCACTTGTTTTTAAAAGAAAAAAAATGTTTTTAGCAAATTATAACTTCCATTTTCTTAAAATACCCTCAAATGTATTTTTTAAAAAAACATATTTTTTCAAGAAAAAGTGGGTACACATCAACAATTTTCTTTTAAAAATATATTAAAAAGCCTGTTTTGATATAAATTAGAAGCATTTTTTTATATCTTCTCTACTAAAAATAAATAATATTTTTTTAGTAGAAAAATTCTTTAAAATATTTCTAAATTTATATCTAAACAAGTTTTAACAAATTTTTCAATTATGAGTTTATGACTTAAAAAGAGCTCGATAAGATACATGACCACAAAAGAATTTTTCATAGAGGGAGAACATGAGCATCTGTTTTCAATACCATGATTGACTAAACATAAGAATGTTGCGAAGTAAATAATTTAATGTAATCCTGCTGTTTGCAAAAACAGCTAACATTCTCGTAATACGATGTGACATAATTTGACCTATATTTTTAAATTAAATAATTTAATGTAATCCTGTTGTTGACTTACAAAAACAGCTAACATTCTCGTAATACGATGTGAGATAATTTGACCTATATTTTTAAATTCCTTCCATGTATTAATTCTGACTTAGTCCACTCATCATTTTGGTATGCTTTTTATTATCTTAACATGAAGCATCACATTCTAGTATTCTACATGTTATGACAAATATTTTCTGTTGAAATTATATGAAGATCATTCTTCAATTAAGCTCTACTGTGCAAGGGGCAGGTTATGATTCTGTTCTTAACTGGCATATGGTATCTCAAAGTCATGGGTTTAGAATTTGTATATATATGAATAATTAATATATAGGTTGGCTTGATGATAAGATTAAATAATATATATACATATATATCCAAATAAAATAAAATAAAAAAGTGTTTGATTCTTGCAAGTAAATGCTTGTAAGCAAATGATGAGCCATAAATAATTCCGATTCAAGTCAACTCTATGGTGCTAACATAAGCATCGAGTATTTAGTTTATTCATTTGTGTTTTAAGGTTTGATAACATGGATGCAACTCTGACATCTGGATATGTTTGAACCTATGGGAAAGACGTGCATTATGAAAATAAATTATTATTTATTTCCTTGCCTTAGGCTTGTAGCATATCCCTGCATTGCATAAATTGCACAAGTCTGAGAAACATTAGTTCATTTAATAATACTTTTGTTTTCCCCCATAAGATATTGACAACAACAACGAGGATTTCATCTCAGAATAAAGTTCACTCCTTTAAAGAAGTAGAAAAAAAAAATGCGAGTACTTTAGACTTAATGAGAGAAAGACAAAGGCTGATGCTAATAATTCAAGGAATTCGAATATGATGGACACTATCTAACACTCTTTTATTGATATCTTTTTTATTATTAAGTAAAATATATTAGAAGTTACAAATTTTGGTAAAATCTACCACTAAATTTAAAAAGACTTATTAAATGAGATGCAAGAGTTGTCAAAAAAAAATTATATATTCGATAATTTTTTAAAATAGTAGAAATCATTATAAAGAGAATAACAATAACATTTCTCTTCACTTTTAAGAAAATGACATTGACAAATAGTTTTAGGTATAGATAATATCCTAAAAAAGAGAAATCTATAGGAAAAGGAAACAAAGAGAACCTTATTAAAGATAGCCAATGAAATTCTTTGATAAAGATTAATTATCAATAAAATTAGTAAATATTTTATATCAATAATATAGTCAATATATATATAAAGAGGAAGTCATTTATTTCAAAGAGAGTCAAAATAAATTTATTTCACTTAATAATTCATGTTACTAGTACGAAGTATTTATTAATTTTGTTGATAATTAATTTCTGTCAAGGATATATATTTTAACTATGTTATTGATACAAAGTAATACTAGCTTTTTGTTGATTATTAATTTCTATCGAGAAATTTTGTTAATTATCTTTAGTGAAATTCTCTTTTTAATTTTTTTTTATACATGAAATTCGAACTTGAAACTTTGCTTAAGAAGATAGAGGGCGTGAATGGAGTGTTTGACTTGTTGAGGTGTTTATAAACATGATTTCAACGAACATATTCTCTTTGAAGATAAACTACTTTCGGTCTTATACTTTGTGTTATGGCCATTAAATCAAATCATCAGAATAAGCGTCCGTAGAGACATTGTTCACTGCTAAGTGGCAACCTATAATATCTAAATCCAAAGTCAAATACAAAGACACAGCATACATCAACTCAAATGCAAACCCAATTAACATTTCAACAGCCAATAATTATCTTAACAAACTTTGCTGGCTGGTCAACTATATGCATATACATCACTAATGAAGCTATGATGGCATCATTATATATAATCAGAACATGCTTGGTGCTAGTTACCAACTTCTCCTTTTCACAAACCTCTTCCACAACCATCCATGAGAAACCCTCCAATAAGTTTCCTTTTAGCCGTAGCACTTTGTGTGCTATTACTCTCAAAGCCTTCTCTCACAGTGTTTGTAAGCATTGATTGTGGATCCTCTGAATCTTCCACTGATGTAAACAACATAAGATGGGTTGGAGACGATAACTACATTCAACATGGAGAGTCACATCAAGTCTATTTGGGTTCTCACCCTTTGAGCACTCTCAGGGTGTTCCCAAGTGGAAACAAAAATTGTTATTCCATCAGAGTTGGAAAAGGAGAAAAAATTCTCACTAGGGCAAGCTTTTACTATGGCAATTATGACGACAAATTCTCCCCACCCTTGTTTGATCTTCAGTTTGATGGAAACTACTGGGCCACAGTGAACACCTCAAGTTACTATTATGTTGATCATGAAGCAATATATGTGACAAAGGGAAACTTCACCAGCATATGTGTTGCTCAAACTAAGCCTAATCAGTTTCCCTTCATATCATCCCTTGAAGTGCGTAGCTTGGACCCCACAATGTACGCTCATGTTGACCCCAATCATGCATTGATCTTGCAATGGAGATATGCTCTTGGTGGTAATCAAACTATAAGGTATACACACCCTCACTCAAAAAATTGGATCAATATCCAATAAAATGAGCAAATATTAATTTTGACATTGCAAATACTCTTTTTTTATCTCTTTAAAATTAAAATTATCATTTTTAATCTGTGTAAAATAAATAAATTTTAGTTTTGATTTTTGTAAAATATTTTTCTTTGATTTATATGTCTTTAAAATATTAAGTCACTATTTTTTTTTGTCATTTAACATTCATTTAAATCTGATAAATAACATTTGTTTTGAGCATATGTAAGAAATTATAGAGGTGTCAATTCTTAACATAATATCACATACATATGTTATCTATATAGTTACTTAATTAATGAATTAAAAGTTTTTTCTTACGAGAGAAACTAAATCTAAAAGTTATCAACTTTTCATACAACACTCTAAAACAAATTTTATTTTTATGCACTTCATCGTTAAGATTTTTACATTATCAATTGATAAAAATCATTTTAATTGTAATTTGAAGATAATTATTATAAAACGCAACAAATTTATCTAATAAAGTAATTATGATTAGATGAGAGTATTTACATTGTATTTGCATTTAAATTAAATTATTTAAAAATTAATCAATATTTTCATACTTCACTTTATTCTATTGTATATTATACAATATTATGTTTTTTATATTATGTTTTTTGCAATAAAAACGCTTATTATTAGATTATGAGAAATGTTAGTAACACATACTCTTTTAAATATTCTCTTTAATAAATCAAAATTTATTAAAAAATATAAAAATTGATGGATTTCATGTTCTATTTAATGACACGTTCTCTCTCTTTCTCTCTTGATTTTTTAGATTTTAATAAATTTTAAACAATAAAAATAAGTATGTTAAGAAGTGTGTGTTGCTAACACTCTTAGTTGATATACATGAATGTCCATTCATCTATAACATGGTGCTTGACAATTTCATTGTTGCTTCAACCATAACATATGCTAGGTACCCAGATGACCGTTTTGATCGAATATGGACTCCAGCTTATGGTATAGGGCTTTCCAAAGTGAAAAGTGAGGCATCTGGCATTGCCACAAGCACAGCAGAAGATCATCCACCAGAAGCTGCACTTGAGAATGCGATTATTTCCTCAAGCACTAGAGAATACATGCAGTTTATCAATAGGCTTTCCACAAAGGAACTTCCTATTTACATCACAGCATACTTCTCAGAAGTGATGGAAAGTGCAGTTGGCAAAAGATCCATTCAGATGTACATTGACAACAGGCCCTTCTTGAGTCCCATAATTCCTCCTTTTGGAAGTGTCAAAGAAGTGTACATCACCAACATGACAGCTTCAGCAAACACTTCGTTTATTCTGCAGGCTTCGGCCACTTCCACCCTTCCTCCTATACTTAATGCTCTTGAAGTTTACACAGTGAGTGATGCATTAACTGCAGGAACTGATAGCAGAGATGGTAAGTGTGTTATGTTGTTATCAAAATTTTGATGTATCTACATATTTGTTATGTATACATGTAGGAAGCAAATCAAATGTTAACGCTTTTCCAGTGTGACAAATGAAAACTACAAATATAAAGCAAAATGGTTGAGATTAAAAAAATGTCCATAGCTTTTTTAAAGAGAAATAGGTGATACACTAATGTAAAATAATTTTACATGTTCATTCGATCACAAACCATTATTTATGAAAAGTTGTAGACCTTTGTAATTAATAAATAAAATTCATACTAAAGATGATATTTGACTAGCTGACAATATAAAACTTAGATTGTCATGACTATTAAACTCTTTCTTAAAGAAAAAATAGGTTATCCATTCACAGAATAAAATAATTTTAATTATATCATTATTCAATCACAAGACCATCATTTATGACAAGTTATTAGCTAGCTTTTGAAATAAATAAATAAATAAATTATTGTTTTACTATTTTAATGAAGTAATAGATAGGTATATAGAAGTTCTAAAAGATGCCTTGAGTTCTATTTTTTACTTTATTAGCTTAGAATTTACATTTTGCCTTTGCGTTTTCTTTTGTCAATTTAGTGGAAGGTTTGTTACAACTGAAGTTGGCATTTGAAGTGCTTGTGGAGTGGAGTGGAGACCCTTGCCTACCATATCCGTATAACTGGGATTGGATAAAATGCACCACTGATGTCAAACCTCGAGTAATTGCATTGTAAGTTGATATCACTTCTTCCATATAATGTTTGGAAATAATACACAGACTGATAATTTTTTTTAATATATATGGTTGAAAAACATAGGTATCTTAATGGTTATGAACTGCGTGGCACACTTCCGGATTTCAGTTCCATGAATGCACTAGAAACCATGTGAGATACTTGAAATTCAGAAACATGCTTAATTTGTTCCTTATTCTGTTCTGAAATGATCAAACAACAAATTTGTTTAAATACAAGTTACGAAGAGTTTAAAAGAGTTTATCTGTTGAAAATAAAAAGGTTTTTTCAATAGAAAAATTCTCAAAATACTTGTAACTTGTATCTAAACAAGGTCCATATTTTTCTAATTACTTGATAAATTAAACTTTTTTTAATGAATTGTAGTGATTTGCACAACAATACCATAGAAGGCCCCATTCCTGATTTCCTTGGTCTCCTGCCTAATCTCAAGACATTGTAAGTTTCATTCTCATACACATTGTTGTTTCAACACATGCTTTGAACTCTACACACTGTAAAGTGAAAACTTTTCTCTTTTTTTTTTTTTTTTGCAGGAATTTGTCTTACAATAGGTTCAATGGTTCCATACCCACATCTCTAAAGAATAAAAACATTGAACTTGAGTAAGTGGAATTTTCTCTACTTTTTTTTTATGGCTGCTACAATAGAATAGAATGTGAATTCTTTCTGTTTTTTTCAAAAACCATTGTCTTCAAACAACTTTTCTTCCTTATCATACTTGTGTACATGTTCTTACTTTCATTTCCTAATTTTAGTACAACAAATAATTGCCTCTCGGGAATGAAGTGTCAGCCTCAGAGTCTCAATGATTCTCCAAGTAAGTTACTTTCACCACCACCACCTCAACTTATTTCAGGCGATGATCTCAGTCACAGAGATTCTCCAATTAAGTTACTTTCACCACCACCACCTCCTCAACTTATTTCAGGCGATGAACCAAACAATCCATCACCTTCAGAACTTCATGCAGGGGATGAACCTTCGTTAGGTGGAAGTTTGAAGATTCAAGATCTAAATATAGCATTCATAGTAGCTATGCAAACTTTGCTCCCACTGCTCTTCATTAAATTTGTATGAATGGGAAAGTTTTGTTTAATCTGCATGAAACATATCATGCAAGCCTTGTACTGCGTGTCTTTTCCAAATGTTTGTGTCCGACTGATTTCTTCTTTATATTAGCACTATGTAATGCTACAAGTTTATCAGTGCGCCGCAAATTATCGCTGTGTCAACAACTTAACGTGTAATTTGAAAGCTTAGTTGCATTACTTGCTATTCGACCTTAATAGAACAATAGGGGCATCTGACATAACTTCATTTGTTATACAATTATTTTTATTAAAATAATCATGTTATTAATACTACGGATTTTTCCTAATAAATAATCTAAAAAAACCTATCTGATCACTTTTAATGAAATTTTCTTTTAACTACATTTTTTTTATCCATGATAGAGACCAATCAAATTAATCAACTTTGAAGATTCAAGGATCGAGTTACATACTATTGTTAAGTTTTATGTCATTTTTTATAATTAAATTTAACATTTCCAAGAAGGAAATCATTATTTAAACAATCACATAGCGCACCAATCACATAGCGCACCAATCAAGCTTTTAATAGCAAACTGCAAACTGAATTTTTTAGAGTTTGCTACAGCATATATCAACGATGTAGTTTTCACCCAAACAAAAAAAAAGTTAATGATTTAGTAATCAGGCAATCAATTGAACAAACACAGTTAGCAACTTGAGGTTCCTGCTGTTTCGTTTTTCTTTTTATTCTAATATATATTACATATACATTGCACGTTCGGATATACTCAAGGATGGCACCCTAAATTTACAAGTACTTCTACAATTGTATCAATTCCGCAAGCTATGAGCCTGTAACATGCATGTAAACTTAACGCTAATAAAAACAGCAAATTCACATAATATTGGAGACCCACAAAAACTTGCACCAGATCTCATAAGATTAAAGACGAGAAGTGCATTAGTCACTCTACAAACACAGCTTGCTACAGTCAGATTCCAGCAGCTCCGGTAGAGCAAATGTCATGATTCTTGCAAAAGGATCTCATAAATGTCAGTTCTCAGATTCAGCTCCTTATCACGCATAACTTCCTGTAAATCAGATAGTTCTTTTGCAGTAAGGACAGAATTCAGCTTGAGAAAGCCATCCAACCATAGCCTTTTTGACCTGGTATGCACATTAAAATTATTATTATTATTATTATTATTAATAACAACAATATGAACAAATGTATATGCAAATTAAAAAATAAAGTATCAGATGAGTAATTTAAAGAGATTCAAATTATCATCAGATAATAGAACTATAAATGAAAGCCCCTCCCACCAAATCCATGGGATTATTGGCGACTTCTAGGCTATAAACCTGAAGTCCGCAACACTACTCTAAAAACCCAAGTAATTTTTTTCAGCCTCAACTCTGAGAAAATATCATTCAATCATCTAAAACATAGTTCTCACCAGGGGCAGGCATGGATAGCCCTGAAGAAAACACGTCGAGCTGCAGAAGGATCATGTGCAACTTCCATCTCAAACTCGATGTAGCATCGCCACAGTACAACTGAGCTGCAAAGCCTGTCATTACCCAATGCCTTTTCAAACAAACCACGGATTCTGTGGTGTGAACCCCCTCTAAACATTTCATATGACAATACAAAAAGCCAGAGAACTACAGATGGTTTCCTGATAATACAAGAGGTAAATTATTGCTTAGTATAAATTATAGAAAATTTGCGTAGATCAAAAACAATTTTAGAATTTTGTTTATGAATCTACGATATTTCATTCCTCTTCTTGATGTAAAAACCCTTTTAGAATTTTAAGCATTTCACTTGCACTCTTCAAAAATTTAACATTTACTTGTAACATCAAGGTAATGCTTTGAAGTTAAAAAACTAAAAGAAAAAATTATCAACGAACCAAAATTCTCATTTTCATGAAATACTTTATGTAGAAAGAGAAAGCATAATGCCTTAGAAGGGCTCAACTTCCTTTGAGATCATAACAAATATGACAAAAAAATACGGCTTCTCTTCATATTTCCCATCAAGTTCCCATATAATATTTTTTACAATTTTTAAACATGCATTACACTAGTAACACAAGATTGACTTTAAACTTAAATTCACTTGAGAGATAAAAGTTACAAAATTTTTATTAATGGTCTACATCTTCCCAGAGAAATGACAATTTCCTTGTGGTTGTTGGCCCTGGTCAGAAACCATTTTAAAACCTTTCATGTTTAAACAATTCCATTATTTGATTATTTTATCTTGAAATTTGAGTCTTATAAAACCATGTCATCCTTTGACAAAATCATGAAGCTATGTGGATAAGGAACTTACTTGTAACAACAGTCATCTAGAATCCGCCTCAACTTATTAGATGTAGTGTAATAATAGCCGACCTCCACTACATCTTTTAGAAGTTCAGGACTGAAGGGATATATCTGGAGGCCATGCAAGATGGATTCCCAAACTTTCATCAGACTTGATTGTCTCTGATGTCTTTGAAGCATCTTTATATAATAGTTAAACAAAAACTCAAGTTGATAACCTTGACTTCTCCTTTCTGCAGGTTGCAAGCATTCAGATAGACGTCATAAGTACCAAAGTAATGTTATGCAGCCATAGACTTGTTGCAAGACAAACTGCTTCTACAGGGACACTAACAGTGTGTTTGGGTTGGCGTTGAACCCCCAAAAATGCACATTAAACTTAAAGCAACTCTCCCCTTGCTTCTACATTTTTTTCTTTGGAAAGTGGGAAATGCCGTTTGCATTGTTTCATCCGCTTTCTCAAACATGCGCTAAATGCCTGAATCAGAGCATTTTAGTACAAGATATTGTACTTCGTTCCAGTATGTTTCTAAGCCAGTGGAAATTTATTTCTTATATAACATCTTTCAATTGCAATCACGTTAAATTCCTTTCCATCTTAGATACAAAAGGCTTATATTATATATCTATCCCATGTGTCTATACGTCAAACTGAAATAATATGACATTTAGGAGAAATAAGCATGCATCTGTACAACAACATACAACAAGCATTGCTATGGAGGGAAAGCTAACTTAATTTCAATTCAAAATCACAATTAATGAGATCAAACAAGTTTACAAACCATCTATACTTCATATTCATAATAGTAAAGATTAAATTTCATCAACGACACATAGAATACTATTTATTAACCTCTTCATAAAGTGATAAAACTCAATATACTGAATTTAGCCTTTTACTTCACTCAAAAGTTCCATGAAGTTCTACCCTACCGGTATAAAAAATAAAAAGGGAGAAATATTCTTACTTAACCTTTGCAAATAATAGAATATCCATGATGAAGACTTGGAAGTTATGGAAGTCTGAATAGTAAAATTACAGTTTCCACCGGTTATAAAATCACACTTGTCTTAAAAGGTCTCATGTTTTCTAAAAGACCAATTACCGAAGAGACATTACCTGGAAGCACCATTGTAAAAGCTTGATTCAAAACTTCAATGCCTGCATCCCATCCGGTGGTTAGCTCCTCAAACAATGCAGCAGAACATATTAGAGCTACAGACTGGTCATTTATTATACCACGGACCCAAGATGACCATACTGTTCTCAATTTTTCTTTAAATCCTTGATGTGCTCTAAGCAGTAGCAAACTTGATGCTTGACTTTTAAATGGGTTGTATTTTGTACCACTTCCTAAGCATGATAATATATGTATCGCACGAGATGAAGATTCACGATCATCAGAAGAGTTATTTGCAATCTCCACCTCAGCATACCAGAAATATAGAAGAGGAGCACTGGACTGTAGTTCCTATTACATTAAAGTGAAAGCATACAGTTATGAAAAAGAATAAAACCTCAGGCTGAATCCCGACAACCAAAAAAAAACTATTAAATTTATCAAATTTAATAACAAAGGGCCTATCAGTTTGTGCTTGTGCTTTTTTTTAAGTTAAATAATAATTTATAACATTTATTTGAAAAAAGTATAATATTTTTTCAAATATATATATATATATATATATATATATATCACAAAAATTGTTGTTATATTACTTCTCTCAAAAGCTAAAAATAATTGCTTCTAAAAAAACTACATCATACAATCACTTTTTTGTTTAAAATCAAACAAACTAACACAATCTTAGGGGCAACTACAGAAACACATTAAATACATAAAAGGAATGCTAGTGCTACAACCTTTTATGCACACATGAATGTGCCTGAACATATATGCACAGCATGCTAACTGTCTCACCTTTATGTGGAGGTTAGCATCCTCCATATCTTTAATTGGTCAATGTACCCACTTGTTTATTTTTTAGTTCAAACTGTTCAAAGGAGGGGAAGGGACCGCTTGTTTGGTTGGTAAGGGGAACAAAGCTGCCCAATCCCTCAACAAATTTGTTAGAGAAATCCTATTAAAAAGATCATGTTCTGAAAGCTAAAACCAAATACATGCAAAATGCCTAATATTATATCACAAATCATGCGTTGTGTCAAAGAAACCTCCTTAAATATACGAGGTGTTCCGCAACCACAGGGTAGCATGTGTTTCAATTTGCCAAAAAGAGTGGTAGCAAAGAAACTAAATTGGAAAATAAAGATACATTGAAGCAGTAAATCAGTACATACCACAGGAAGCCCTTCTACAGATAACAATGCCATGTCAAACACTTTTCTTGCATGATCAATGTTACCATAATTAGCCTCTCTTCGTGCATATACACCACATAGCAATACATCCTACAACAACCAAAAAACAAGAAGTGAGAAATAACCTGAGAAGCCAATATAAAGTACACATGACATAAAAAAATAAATAAATAAACAATAAGATAATCGCATCATATGTAAATATTACTCCAAAGGAAATTGGTCAATCATATCCTAACAAGCAAAAGAATAGCATGAAGCTACATCAAGTTCTAGATACATATTTTGCATTCATGTTCATGCATAAAAGTTGTCCCCATTGGCACCTTGTTTACTTCTAATTTTTAAAACCTGTCAATAACTTCACTATATTTGCTCTCCATATACTTATGAGTGGTCTACAACATAGTTGTCAATAGCAGCCATAGCGGTCACTATCACGGCACGATGGAGCAAAGCGACTTTGTGCCGCTATGTTGACCTCAAAGCGGAGCGTTTTTGAAGAGTGGCCGGAGTAGGCAGCAGATTTCGTGTAACAGAGAGGATCTGCAAATTTAAAAAATTCAAAAATACCTCAGTAAAGGTATTTTTGCCATTTCAA